CGCGGGACGCAGATGGACAAGGGAAGAGAGAGAATTCCTCGGGCAGCCGCACCGCGGCGCCGAGCCCGGCCCGGCCCGTGTCTCTCTTACCTACACAGTGCATGAGGCGGTGGCGCCAAGAGTCGAGTTCCCGCCGGAATCCTCTCCTCTCCGCCGCGCACCGAGGGCTCCGGCACTGAGCGGCAGCGGCGGCGGCGGCGGCGGCAGCAGCGGCGGCAGCGGCCATTCTCTCTCTTCCCTTGTCCATCTGCGTCCCGCGTCACGCGCCCTCATTTACATACGAGCGGCGCAGGCACGAGGCAGGGGCGCGAGCCCTCGGCGCGAGCCCCGGAGCGCGCGCCCCCCGGAGGGGGGTTGATTGACACGTGTCACTACCTTCCCTCTGCCCTCCCCCTCCCCCCTCCCACCGCTCCCTCGGGGAGAGGCGGGGAGGGAGCGCGAAGAGAAGGAAGCAACCTGCCGCTTCCGCTGACCCCGCCTCCTTCCCTATCCACTCCCTTCCCCTCCTCCCGCCGGAGTTTACTCAGGCGAGCCATACCGCTCCCGCCGTCCGCGAAAACCCTGAGCGGGAGCGAGAAACCCCGAGGCCAGCCAGGAACCCGCGTGCAGAAGGAACGGACTAGCGACGCCTCCCTTCTGCCTTCGCGTGGGGCGCTGCAAGTCCGCAGACTTCATTTCCCAGCCTCCATTGCGTGAGGGTCCCAAAGCGGAGCCCACGGGCGCGATGCTGTGCACTCTGGGCTTTGTAGTCCGTTCGCGTTGAGCGCTCTCTTAGCGGGTTCGCACTCTCCAGCTGGCAGCGGGGGCCCTAGACTTCAAAAGCTTGGCTGGTGACGGGATTAGCTTCTTACTCCCTCTGACCAAACGCCTGCAGGGCGGGCCTTGCCCTGGCCTATCTTTAGCTTTCTCAAGTTCTGCGTGGGGAGTTCGGTGGAAACCTCAAAGAGTTGACTGTGTCTTGAGCGGCCAGGCTACTCTTTAAGTGCTGGGAACTTTCCAGGGTCCTAGTCATCTATCTTCACTCCTCAGGGAAAAGGCAAGGCAGTCATTCCACTGTACTCGAGAAGGATGTACAGGGGCATCAATTTACGAAGCCAAGAGATATTGAAAAGTGAGACTATTTGCAGAGATCGAGGAAACCATCAAGGGCTTTTCACAATAGTGAGTATAGCTGGCTGAGAACTTGAGAAAAATTTCACATACTGCCCAAAATGTAAACCCTTGGAGGGTTTTGATTCACTGGGAGTTTGGTGCCTTGACATCTTTGACACCTTTTTTTTTTTTGGGGGGGGGGGGAATCTGTCTAACCTTAATACAGTACGTGGCATGGGATTTAGCACTTTGTAATTGTTAAAGGTTTTAAAGAAAATTTCCTTGGAGAGAGGAGAATCTTTTGGTTAAGTATATTCTTAAAATTACTTTCCCCACCTCTCTCTTGCACCTGAGCTATTCTACACTCATTTTTGTGTAGTCACAGGGAACTAAAACCAGAGTTTACAGAGAAATACTGTCTGTTACCCAGCATTTACGCTCAGCTCTGCCGGGAAATATACTTTAATCCTTGGGAACGCATAACTTCTCAGTTCTGCAGTAGTCTCTATTTTTTGTGGCATATCCTTATCTGTCATTCTTTTTCCTTCTTTTGAGAGAGCGGTTTGTTGCTCAGCATTGTCTCTCTAGTAAAAAAAAAATGTAACATTAAATCTTCATCAAAAAGTTGAGTGTGAAGTTAGAAGTTATGTGTAGTAGTGTATATTCGCAGCCCTGTCTTTCGGGAGACTAGAACAATTTTGTGTGGGACGGAGATAGGCTAGATCGTGGCTCAGTAGCAGAAATTCAAAGTAACATTGATTTAACACAAACCTTTATTTTTCACTATGTTATCCCCATAGTTTAGAGTGGGACTCTGAAAGAATGTCCCGTACCTATTCAGGTCTCGTCAGCTACCATGACAAGAGAGAGGTGACATAAAATTGTGGCCTCCCTCGTAGGAGCTTCTGACCAAAGTCACACTTCAGCAAAAGCATGTGGTCATGCTAACTTCAAAGAAATGACACATTAAATAACTTTGAGAGCCTAACGAACCACCCCAAAACCTAACTATGGGCTAGTGAGGTGTCTCAGTAGGTAAAGGTACTTGCCATCAAGACTAGCAACCTGATTTTGATCTTTGGGAACCCACAGTGGAAGGAGAGAACTGACGCCTTCAAGTTCTCCTCTGACCTATCTCCACAAACACACTGCGGCACAAGCATGTACATCTGCACATACATGTGCTTTTATACGTACACATAATAAAAGATTAAAATTAAAAATAAATGACTTTAGCTAATGATGCTATGAAAAAATTTGTCCTAGGCTTGGCTGGAACTTTATGTGGCTGTGACTGGGGTTTTGTTGCCAGCTGTTGCCAGCTGTTTGACAGCTAGACAATTCCATTTCTGAGGGATAGCTGTCATCTGGGATCACAGAAACCAAATAACTACTTTTCAAGGGGCTACCCCTGACTTGTCCACGTGGTGACTGTCACGGGTTCCAAGAGTAGCGTGAGGGCTAATGCATATTCATAAGCGTTTTTAAAATCAGCATGGGTTACATTTAGATCCCAATGCTTAAAACAAGTAACATCGCCAAGCCCAGTGTCAATATGGGTAATATATTATGCCGCACAATAGGAAAATGTGTAAGTCATGTGAAAAGGGGGAATTAAATGCTTCTCCCAAATAAAGGGGAAATGCAAAGAGGAATAGAACAGATCTCTAGACTTTGTGGCCAAAGGGGAAAACCATGACTATAAATAATGATGTTAATAGGATTAACTTTGGGAATCAGCTTCACTGACAATAGTAAAGAATCCTTCATTGCAAGTATGTCAGTGCCATATAATCACCCCGTAAACATATAGCACTCGAGTTATTTCCCTCTAAGCATCCAGCGTTATTGCTGACACTCAGATAATACTTAATTGTTATCAACTGATTTGATGAATATTTACAATATCTATAAAGCCAACAGTAAAAAGAGGGTAATATCCAAGATTGTCTCCTACACCAAATATTCAGCTGAAACAGACTTTAATAAAATAAAAAATGTATGATATAAAGATGTTAATATTCTGTAACAAGACAGTTTTGCCCTATGCACTTCCTGTACCTATTGTATTATTCCCGTATTGTTACGCAAAAAGTCAATCTTTAACAGTGCAGTAAAAGCACTACCGTTCCTTACTGCTCTTACATTTACAGGTCAGATGGACTGATGTGGTGAGGTTCTGTCAATGCTGATTGGTACTGCCATTGCTGGAGCTTCTTTATGTAGGGCCAACATGTGAAACACAAGAGGGTAAGTACGAACACGCACATGTTTTCTCTGTTTGCTTGCCACTCTTTTGTTGGCCAAAGCAAATGCAAAGTAAATTCAAAATGTGAGTAGAAGGGTACTAACAAACCAACCATAGAAAGGTTAATACATTAGGGTCATTCCTACAACCAAACCACCATGAATATCCACCCAGTTTCACTATTACCCACCAAAAGCTGACAGTACACCTGTGACTTCGTATATGAAGCTAAACTGCATGCCAAATCACTGATGTATTTATTTGAACATTTGGCATTCCAATTGAAGAGACATTTTAGAAAAGCAGGGTATAATGAAGATGATACAGTAGATTGAAATATATTTCCACAGTAAAAGGATAAAAAATTTGCAGAATAATACCACTAAAGCCATATGTTTTACTTGATTATAGAAGTAAGTAATCTAGTACACCAATAAGACTATAAAGTTCATATGCAATTGTAAACTTATCAACATGTAAACAAAAACACATACAATTTAATAAAATTGAAACACTTATGTATATTACATATTTTTAATTATAAAGCATAACAAATACCTTAATTAATCATAGAAAGCATAATAGTACTGATAAGCTCTATTTTGAATATTTTTAAATAATCACACTTTATTTTATTTCCTTTGTCTCTGAACTATAATGTATTGCACTGATTGGAGATTTGGGAAAAAAAGTCAGAAACACTATGATTATATCATTCCACTTTGTATAAATGTATCCAATTAGCACACTATACTCTATTAATAATGCACAATTAAAATTACAATTAAAAAAATCAGAAAGAAATTTGATTAATCAGTTATTAGTACATGGGCCTTAGCCCTTATACACAAACTTTCTGATTAGCCACAAATCTCATCATTTTAGACATTATGTAGATACCTGAGATTCATCTGTATTCATGAGCAGAAGATTTCACACTCTCCTTTTTTTCTTATGAGAGCACAGAGTATGGACAGTATTATATCAGATTTATACATATAACACATTTGTTATCAGTACTGCAGCAGAATCTTCTTTTTTTATGTGTGTTTTTGGTTCTTTTGGTTTTTGAGACAGGGTTTCTCTATGTAACAGCCGTGGCTGTCCTGGAACTAGCCCTTGTAGACCAGGCTGGCTTCAAACTCAGAAAGATCTGCCTGCATCTGCCTCCCTAGGGCTGGGATTAAAGCCGTGTGCCACCACTGCCCAGCTGCAGCAGAATCTTAAAGATACATAAGATAGATTAGTTTGTCTTCTTAATGATTGCCAAATGCCAACAACAGCTTTTTGTACATTTTGTAGGAACAATAATAAAATTTCAAAAGAGAATCATAATTCGGTAAACAGATGGGGGATGGTGATGAAATGCGTTTCTTGAACTGTACTATCTTTCCTATCCTAAGGCTAGCCCGAATGTGCACAAGAACTGGCTTAATAGCTGCTCCAATTCTATCATTTCTCTCCGGGTGGTTTCTCAAAAATTTTATACTTATGATCTGAAATAAGTGTAACTATTGAGAATTTTAAAAGCATTACTGAAGGATCTTTTTATCTTCATACCAAATATCATTTAATTGCATATAATTTTTACTTTACTAGTAGACTAGGTGATAAACTGCCAGTATAACCAATATTAAAATTAGGGTGAGCATATTTCCATTTTTTAAAAAGTAAAATTATACACCTCAGAGATTGGTATTTGAATTTAATACCAGTTGCCATCTTCTTTCTCTTGCATCCAGGCCTGATAATAGGACCCGATTTATCCCTACGTTTTCTGTCCATTAGAAATCACTCCCGTGGACTAATGCATCATTTTCACTTTCATTTTCAGTCTTTTAATAAAATCTCAATGTATTAGAGACTCAATAATGGCAATTTGATCAAATTTAGTCAAATTGTATGGCTCAATATCAAAGTCAAATAAAAATGTTATCTATGGCACCTAAACTATTAGTTTAGAAGAAATAAAGATTATATGGATCGACTCATAGATTTACAGATAAGGAAACTGGGATCCTGAGAGAATAAGCAATTTATGTCAGTCACAGCATTTGCGCATAAAACACTTCATCCAGAGTTCAATTTCCTTCTTCCTAGTCTGGGCTCTTTTGACTTTTGTTTTGCTTAATTTTTGAGAATTAGTAAGTGGGTGCTCTGTTTACATGATTTCCACCCATCCTGTTCCTACTTCCAGCTCCTTCCTCCTACTTCTCGAGTTCATATTGTCCTTAATTATTATTATTGTTACACACTCATATACATGTGTATATAATATATATAATGCTCCTCGATATTGCTAACCCTTTATTGAATCAGTTTCCCAATCCTGGACTGTCTTTGTTTCATTCATTTGTTTATTTGGCTTTACTTGAGCATCCCTAAGGCTCTTACTACAAGATATTCTCCTTCAGTTCATTGAGTTCCCTGTTCCTGTCTTCCTGGAATGCCTTGAAATCTTTGATCAAATTTATAATTGTTCTGTTAAATTCTCTGTCCTGGAGTTCATCTAAGTAACTGCCGTTGGAGAACATTTCTATAAGGCTTACGGATTTCTAGGGAGAGTGTGTTGTCTTGGTCCCTCATAATCATTGTTTTTCTTATGGTCATGTGAACGTCTTTTGTTGATTACCTGTCTGATGTGAGATTCAGGCCCGCCTCCGACTAGGTGGGTATAAGAACTGTGCATCTGTAGCTAGGCCTGGGAGTATGGAGATGGTATGGGCAAGTTTAGTTTTCAGGAACTCCCCACAAAAAAGATGTTTGCGACTGGACTAGGCCTGGCAGTGAGGGGATGGTTCTAGTGGGTAAGTCTGGGACGTTCACCCAGGCAAGGCTGGTGCTGTACCACAAGTGCTAGACTGTAAATACAAAGATGGCACGATCAGGCCTTGTTCTTGACTCTTTTTTTTTTGCTTTAATAAGAGGTATCCATTATTCCATATTATAATAATTATTTTTCTCCCCTCTTCCCACTCCGTCTACTTTCTACCCACACCACCTCCCCATCCATTCCACAGAGAGGGTAAGGCTTCCCAAGGGGAGTCAACAAAGTCTGGCACATCACTTTGAGGCAGTTCCAAGGCCCTCCCCCCTATATCTAGGCTGAGCAAGGTATCTCTCCAAAGACAATGGGCTCCAAAAAGTCAGTTCAAGTACTAGAGATAAATCCTGGTCTCACTGTCAGGGACCCCTCAGACTGCCCAGCCACACAACAGTCACCCACATATAGAGGGCCTAGTTTGAGCCTATGCAGGTTCCCTCTGCTGTCAGTCCAGAGTCAGTGAGCTCCCACTAGCTCAGGTCAGCTGTTTTTGTGGGTTTCCCCTTCATGGTAATGACCCCTTTGCTAATACTATCACTCCCCCCTCTTTTGGATTGGACTCTGGGCGCTCAGCCCAGTGCAACTCTGAGTCTCTGCATCTGCTTTCGTCAGTTGCTGGATGAAGTTTCTATGATGACAATTAAGGTAGTCATTAATCTGATAATAGGGGAAGGCCAGTTCAGGCTCCCTCTCCACTATTGCCTAGAGTCTTATCTGGGATCATCCTTGTGGATTCCTGGGAATTTCCCTAGTGCCAGGTTTCTTGCTAGCCCCATAATGGTTCCCTCTAGCAAGAAATGTCTTTCCTTGCTCTCCCTCTCTGTCCTTCCCTTCTCTTAGCCATCCCATTTCCTCATGTTCTTCCCACACTTTCTTCTCCTCTCCTCCTCTCCTTCTGCCCTCCCTTCTTCCCCCCTCCATGTTCTCAATTTCCTCAGGAGTTTTTGTCTATTTCCACTTCCCAGGGGATCCAAGTACGTCTCTCGTAGGGTTCTCCTTGTTGCCTACCTTCTCTGGGGTAGTGGACTATAGGCTTATTATCCTTTGCTATACATCTAATATTCACTAATGAGTGAGTGCAAACCGTGTTTCTCATTCTGGGTCTGGGTTACCTTACTCAGGATGTTTTTTTCTAGTTCTATCCATTTACCTGCAAATTTCAAGATATCATTGTTTTTTACTGCTGAGTAATAGTGCTGGCATAATTGGATGTCAACATGTAGAAAAATGCAAATAGATCCATATCTCTTTCGATGCACAAAACTCAAGTCCAAATGGATCAAAGACCTCAATATAAAGCCAACCACATTCAACCTCATAGAAGAGAAAGCTGGAAGTAGCCTTGAATACATGGGTACAGGAGATCACTTCCTAAATATAACCCTAGTAGCACAGATACTGAGAGCAACAATAAATAAACGGAACCTCCTGAAACTGAGAAGCTTTTGTAAGGCAAATGATATAGTCAATAAGACAAAATGACAGCCAACTGAATGGGAAAATATCTTCACCAACTGCACATTTGACAGAGGGCTAGTCTCCAAAATAGAGAAACTAGACATCAAAATATCAAATAATCCAATTAAAAGATGGGATACAGACCTAAACAGAAAATTCTCAACAGAAAAATTTCAAATGACTGAAAAACACTTAAGGAATTGCTCAACGTCATTAGCCACCGGGGAAATGCAAATCAAAATGACTCTGAGATACCATCTTACACCTGTCAGAAAGGCTAAGATAAAAGACACTGATGATAGCTTATGATGGAGAGGATGCAGAGTAAGGAGAACATGCCTCCATTGCTGGTGGGGGTGCAAACTTGTCCAGCTGCTCTGGAAATCAGTATGTCATTTTCTCAGAAAATTGGGTATCAATCTACCTCAGGACCCAGCAATACTACTCTTGGGTGTATACCCAGAGGAGGCACACTCATACCACAAGGATATGTGCTCATCTGTGTTCATAGCAGCATTATTCATAAAAGCCAGAACTCGGAAGCAACCTGAATGCCCCTCAGCCAAAGAATGGATAAAGAAAATGTGGTACATTTACACAATGCAGTACTACTCAGTGTTCACCATAATCTTAAATGAGCACTTTGAGTATTATATTAATATTAGAAAAATTACAAATTGGAACAGGTAAGTTAAATTAATTGACCAGCATTATGCAACT